GGCGGTGCTGGGCGGGGGCGTCGGGCGGGCGTCGGGGCCCCTGGCGCTCGGTCAGGACTTTCTGCGTTTCCCGCAACAATGAAATGGGGCGCGGCTGCCCAGGCCCCGGTGGGACCGCAGTCCCGAGCCTGGCTGGGCCGCGCGCGTCTTGTCTTTTAGCCCGGTAGCCTTTTGCAGAGTTCAGAGACACGGCTGGAGCCTGGTCCTCCCGGAGGGGGGGGGCGCAGGGGGAGGGGCGTCCCCGCGGGAGCCGCGCTCGGGGTGACCGGACGAGCGCGGCGCGGCGGCGCGGGGAGGGGGGGTCCCTGAGCCCGCGTGGAGGGCATGGCGGGAACGCTCGGGGATGGTCGTGTGGCACGGGGGGACTGACGCGTACAAATCACTGGGCATCTATGGCGCTGGTGGCATCCCCTGGCGCCTGGGCAAAGCTGGCGTGCCTTGTGTGTGGCCCTATGAAGATGACTGGCTGAGTGAGGGGTGCCTCGGGAGGCGTCCATCCCGTCTGGACAGGGTGTGTGCGTGCGCGCGCGCGCGCGTGGACGCTGCGGACGCAGTCGCTTCCCATCCCCGGCTTCTCCGCCGGACCCTCGCCTCCCGGAGCCTTGGCGCCAGCCAGCCCGGTTTAGCGGTCCGGCTGGGCTCCCCCGCGGTCCCTGGGCTGGCCGGGCTGGGGGCCGCGGCCTCGGTGACCCCAGCCCACAGCGGCCCGGCCTGTCCCGTCCACTTAAACAAATTGCGGCTGACAGGCGCGCAGTCTCTCTGGAGCCACCGCCCGCCCCAATTACCCCGCTCAGGGTCGAGCCAACTGGCTGGGCTGGGGCGGGGGATGCGGCCGACCCCCTCTGTGTCTGTGGTCTGGTGCCCGGGCCCGGCTGCGGGACAACGTCCTTCCGTTAGGCCTGGAGAAGCGCTGGGGCAGGCGCGGCCTGTGTGGCCCAGGCCCGCGGTCTCCTGGCCCGAGCCAAGGCGGGGTGGGGGTGGGGGCAGCCTGGCCACTTGGGGCCCAAGATGGACGTAGTCCTCGAGGGGAGCCTCTGTATCTGAGGTCAAGAGGCTGGGGAGCGGGAGCCCGTGGTCCTGGTGGACTTTTGGACGAGTTTCCCCAGAGTTTGGGGTGGGTGGGTGAGATGATCTCATAACCATGAGTCTGCAAACTACTCAGGGCTTTGGGGCTGCAGGTTCTAGGGGCGCAGCCATCCTCAGGGGGTCCACAAAAGTGGTGTGTCCTCGACTTGCGTGTACGTGGATGCGTGGGGACCTCACATAGGTGTCTGATAACAGAGCATGAGGTAAACACTCGGCTGAGAGGCTTATGGGAGGCAGAACGCATGGAGGATCCCTAGGAGAGGCCCTTCGGCAGAGCTGGCCCATGCGCTCAGGCCTGGGATTCTCTGGAGGAGCTGCCAGGAATCCTGCCACAACATAGGCTCCAGCTGCGCCTACTTGGCATCCCCCAAGTGCCAAGCAGCTACCCGGCCCACCGAGTCAGCCTCAGATTTTTGCCTTAAGATCTGCAACTTCTCCTTGGCCCTCTTTAGCCAGATTATTAGTGCTTCCCCCTTCCTATATCCTGAAGCTCTGGCCCAGCAGTAATTCACCCAAGGCTATTGGTGGCACAGCTGGAATGGGACCTTAGAAGAGTCTAGATGTCAATGGTGATGCCATTGCTGTCCTCAGAAATGGCACAGACGCTTCATGCCTTCACTTTTCAATGAGTTCTTGATTTGAATACAAGGTATCTGGGATATCCCCCCCTACCTCTTTACTCTCTTCCATCCACCCTCCCTCCCTCCCTCTCCCACATCTCTCTTTCCGTCTCTCGGGGTTAGTGGGATGAGTCCTGGATTGTGTGGGACAGACAGGGCAACTCAGCTTCAGGCCCTTGTAAGTGAACTGGCTGGAGCACAGGAAGTAGCAAGGTGCAGACAGGGGTCAGTTGACTAGCTATGTGACTCCATGACCTTGGACAAAGCCCTGCCCTTCTGTGAGGCTCAGGCTTGTCATCTGCAAAAGGAGGATGGACATGTGTTAGACACCATCTACTCTGCAAAAAACAAAACAAAACACATTAAGACAGTATTCCCAGCCTCAGCCTCGCCTTGCTGGCTTGGCCTGCCTTCTGGATGTCTCTGGAGGAGTTGGCTCTGGTGTCTGTACTTATGTGCTTGAATCTGCCTTGGGACCCCTGACAGAGCTGTTCCATTTGAGTTGCCCCCACAGCTCCTATTCACCTCTCTGCAAATTATAAAGGTTATTTTTTTTCCCCATCAGATTGAGAGGCAGCCCACAGTATTTTACCCATTGAACAGGTAGTACTGTGAGAATTGGGGACATCGCATGTCTTACCTAGCTTGGTCACAAATAGATCATGTTCTGATGACCTTTCAGGTGATGCTATCAGTTGTGCTGGGAAAGCTGGTAGCTGTGGAGGTTGCCCAGGATGTTATCAGCAGAGGGCAGGAGGCTGGCTGTTCTAGGGAGGGTGGACAATAAGGTCCTCTG